GTTGACTCGAGTCTAGTTCTCTACATCATTCATATAATCTTGGCATATGATTGGTTTATTGTCATGTGATTTTAAAGAGCATGCTCATAGGGCATGCCTCAACTCGAGGGCATGCCCCTATAGGCATGCCCAAATTTTTAGCCATGCCCTAAACCCTATTGTTAATGGGTTGATCCAGTTTTCAATCCACTTCATTAAATTAAACCTTCAGATTCTACTCCGGCTGTACCAAATTGCAGCAAATTTATCAGCATGTTTTTAAATCCTTTAAGTCCACACCAATCAGGGTAGACGGAGTATGCCATTCCATTGACAACAAGTCTGTCAAATTTTTAGTGATTGTGTCCGATGCAAAAATACCATTCCTGATGGATCGTCGGTACAGTTCATGGGAAAAAATTGATAGGGTGGGAAAAAAAATTGATTTACACATACCGTAGGGTCTAAAAAAGGGTCTCCAAAGTACTATACCATACTATAATGAAAAAAAGTTAGGAGTAGGGTTCGTTTTTAGAACCCTGCCAGGAACAGTAAAATAAAAATTTTTTTAACTCAGGTATTGCCGATCCATATTTTTGTGTGTCCGATAGTTATAAATTTAAAATTTCGATGACAGGTTTTCCCTTGGCAATTAAATATATTTGAAACAAAAATCGAAACAGTCTATTTAAAATATCGAGCCGATAAATAAATCACGACAAAATCACAACAAAAAGTATTATAAAATTATAGAATCATATAAAATATCAACAAGTTAATTAAATTAGTAAGAATTAAAAATAAAAGTGGTTACAAATGAAAATTTAGTGTTCAGACAGCATATCTTTAACAGCTTCATAGTAATCAGTATGTACATAATTTTTCATCTCCTGCTTAGTGACCCACGCAAAATCTATAATTTCTTTATTATCTACTTTGACTTGACCAGCGAATATGTGTGCAGCCATGAAGAACACCTAACAGAGGGTTGAGTTAAATTTATAATGAATAAAATAGTAATTTAAGAAAAACAAAAATTCAAAAACCTTAGCGCTTTTATATTCGATATTGTCTTTTATAAAGAATTTTGGATAGTCATACTTGTAATACCCAATCGGTCTTCTCCCAACGAACCAAACGTCCATACAATTACCACACTCTTCTTCCAACTCTCGACTAGCGGCCTTTTCGAGGGTTATTAGTCACGAAATTATTATATATTATATACATAATTTAAATATACATTGAATTTTGAGATCTATTAATAAAATCGAATAGCAAATTACTTGAACCAACGTTTCCGTTTTCTCAACTCCGCCTTGAGGAAATTGCCATGAATGGGATTCTCTTGGTTTCTTGACGATAAGGTATAACGTGCGCTGTAAAGCCCTATCAAGTGACTTGATATCATTCTTTAAATCGGCCTCCGTTATTCTACTAGCAATTTTTATCTCTTCTTCCTCTGTTGAAACATCACTTGAATCTATAGCATCATTCGCACTAGTTGTTTTGTCAAAAGACGCTTTATTTTCAGGTTTTCGAGAGCCAAACGCTAATAATGCATTTGCCTTTTCTCTTTCCTTTTTTTCTCTCCACTTTTTTTCTGCTATGCTACCCTTTTTAAAATAAAAATCCACGGGAAATGGAGGAGCATGTATATGTTCTAATCGTTGTTGATATAAATAATATTCACGTTCAAAGGGGTGTGGATCTCTAAGAATAATAGGAGCACGCGACAAAACTACACCGGCTACTATTCTGTATCCTTCGTGTACCAGGGCCGGGAAAACTCTATTATAGGTCCCCGCCATAAAAAAAAGTTATTCTTATTCTTTGAGAATCAGGTTTTTTTTTTTATAATTAAGCGCGAAAATTAACTTGACACTAATTGGAAAATTTTTAACCAACTAATCGTTGATTGATTATCTACATAAATTTGCGTTTAAGATCAGGTGTAACGTGAAGAACAAAACAACAACAATCGCTTTTTTTTCGAAAAGTTACATTTATCTCAAAATTTTGCCTAAGAAATCACCTTTTGGGCACTAACCAAAAAAATTCCTTGAATAATGTTACTCACTAACGCTAACCCCAAACCCTAACTTAGGTGTCATATTTTTAATTATGTAAACTGATGCGAATAATCCCAGCTGATAGAAGCTTGGAGAAAATTAGTAAATGCTATAAATTTTAAGAGTGTTATAATTTATCGCTATAGTAATGTATCTAGAGTTCCAATCCGAATCAATTCATCATCCATTGTATCTATATATTATATAGTTATATTCAATATCTATCTATTTAACTTGGCAAGAAAAGCCAGTAATACTTTATTAGATCTACTTGTAAGTATATACATAATTGTTGAAATATATTACAACCTATTACTAGGCTATGCTAACCCAACACAGCGATTTGACATTTACCTGGCTGCCTTAATAGGTGTTCAAATATATTCTTGTTGCACCACCAGCATGCTATGGCTGAGACCAACACTGGTAGTCAGTATATCTCTTACTCTGGAGAGACATTGCCATTAAACGTAGAAAGAATTAGACTCATATCTGATGCTATTTCTGCATTCTGAATTTACTATATCTAGCTAGACTATATTCTCCATATTACCTATTTTTTTGCTTTTATACAACTTTCAAATTGGTAACTTTTAGGTTATAGATCTTTATAATTTTCTAGTTTGGTGTGTTGTGTTATCATTATTGTTTTTTCTAAGATATTCTGATATTGATTCAGAATTTGCAAGAACTCATATTTCAAATCAAAAAAATTGCTATTTAATTAGGTTTATTATATAACAGAATTGATATTTTATTGTTAGATTTCTTTTTTTACTTATCTGTTCAGGTACTACTAACTTATATTTTAAACTAGTTTTTGCTATCACAGTTTAATCACAGATGCCTTAGGTTTTAATATTATACAGTTGTTTGTTGTTTTCTCTGTTCTTTTAAGTACTATCTACTATAGTAAGATTTAGAACATATTTTACAAATATATAGAATAATTTTGGTTATATTTAGAGAGTTATACCAACCTTAGTAATATTATACTTCCATATAATACTTGTTTTTAGCATATTGTTATATAAGACTAAAATAATTTTAGTAATATCCAGAAAGTTACATTAACTCCAGTAATGCTATATTACTATTTGTATTGTATATTTTAGAGGTTGGTAGATCTTAAACTTGTTTATTATAGCTTTTTATATAGATATAACTAAAGTTTGATTTAGTATTTTTATATCTATTCAGAATACCAAATAACCTCTATACTCTTGCTTTCTATAGTATTTTCATTTTGCACTACTAGAGGTATTTTCTATTCTAATAATATTAATTTTTTATTATAGTTTGTCTATATATTCACTACTTTTCTTATTATTCTAACTTTGTTAATAGATCATCTTTTCAAGTAAATATTTATATCTTTAGTTCAGATAAAGACTTATTTACATAATTTGTTAACTATCCTTTCAAGCAAGTATTTCACAAGTTGGGTATAAGTAGGATTATTAATAGAGTAGTTTGCTCCAGAGCACTCCAAAGTAGAACCCAACCCAAGTTGGAGTGGGTTTAGACTTATATCTTTAAACTTGAAGCAATCTGAAGCAATTCAGAGCAGCTATGGAGCAACCCGAAGTATATGCGTAGATTTGTAGATCACCCTAAAATTTTTGACGTACTTAAATTTGACTCTATATATTGTGTCAGTAATTTGACACTAAGATTAACCAATCAAATTTCATAAATTTGATATTAAATTTTAAAATTTTAAACGTCACTTAACTAAAATCGTTTGATTGGGAAGGAGGAAAAGCATTAGCCTACGTTGACTTCTCTGGATCTTAGAATCGGAAAGACGAATAGCATTAGCCAATACAATAACACCACATTGACTTCTCT